TATATATATATATATATATACATATATATTAATAGTGATGAAAATATTAATAATTACAACAATAATAACAATAATAATAATAATGACATTATGGCATTAATTGTTTTTTCATTTCAAACAATAGCACTGAAAAAGCAATTCTAAATCAACTAAAATTAACGACATGGGGAAATAGCTAAATTAAAACTTTGTTGAATCTTACTATATGCATGAGCTATAACTTTAAAACAATCAGTTAAATGGTGAGGAAATCTATTACCAATTGGATCGGAAATAAACTTAGAAACACAGAATTTATGTGCTCTAAAGTGAGAAAAGGTCAGACACCCCTGACACACATTTTCTGCAAAAGTCAAAAAAAAGGTTTGAAATATGATTTGTAGGTACAGTGCTGCCCCATAATTTAATGCCATAAATCAAATGACACTGAACAAAACCATTACAAAGCATTATTATTGTGTCGTCAGGGATAATACTGTGCTGCAGTATAAATAAAATGCCATCATGTTTTCTTATTGTATTGTCACACTTAATAGTAATTGTTAATTTATTTTCACTGCACCAATCACTTTGAACTTGCGGAAATAACAGTCCTACCACAAGACGCATAGGTCAGCTAGGCTGGGAGTATTTTATAGCCAATACTTGGACCTTGGAGAATTAATATTTCTACATAAAATGCATAGTTCAGCTAGGTTGGAGTAATTAGGACTGATGCTTAGACCTTGGAGGAGTAACATACTACTTATGATGAATAGTCCATCTTGGTTGGGGGTATGTCAGGTATGTTAGTCTTTTGGGCTTCTAGCTCTAAAATGCATAGTTTTTCTAGGTTGGGAGTACAGTATGTCAGCTTCCTGGATATTGGTAGCGTTTATACAGTTAAACATGATTTTTTTTAAATTGTACTTTCAGAAGTTTTGTTAATAAAATTAAAAATACAATCCCAAAATGGGACTAAAATGTATTAAATTGAATAATATAAAGATCTACAGTAGTTTATCCAATGTTACAATCGAAGAAGACATAGTCACATGTGCATATACAGTTGATTCCATACCTCTCCAGTTAAGATGTTTTCAGCTTTAAAAGTTTCATTGTTGACACTAGAACTTGGTTCGTAGATGAGTTGAGGAATTGTGATGAAGCTGAAACTTAGAACCAACACCGGGATATTCCATAGCAGTAGCCATCGCAAAAGGATGAAGTATGACACGACACCGCTGCCAAAATTACCCTCAATTTTTTTCAGTGAGCCCCTCCATAACTTCAGGGAGTAGAAAACGTCGCTGACACTACTCTTAAAGTGATCCCATTTCTAATGGAAACAAGAAAACAATATAGTAGTAAAGTTTTGATAATACCTTGGGACTATAGTTTGAACTGTGCCCCTCAACATAGCCAACATTTGTGTACATTATTATTACAGGTCTCCCTCCAATTAAAGACCACTTTCGGGACCGGGGTTTCCAAGTGGTATTTAGCATATTTGGTCTCTAATTAGAATAATAAAGATAAAAGCCATTTGTTAATATGGGACACCAGATAAGTGGTCTTTAATTAGAGGGATCTTTAATTAGATGGAGACTTGTATTATGAAATCACTCTTTTTTTTTATACATTGTGTCATGCATAGCATATGGAAGTTTAATACCCAGAGGCGGATTTAGGGAGGGGGAACATGCCCCACCTCCCATGGTTTTGTTACTGCTGACTAACAGTATACACTGAACATGAGCAGTGGAGGCAGGGGGGCATTTGTCAGCCCGTCGTACAGGCTTGCACTCCTTGTTGTCCAAAACCATGACAAGGTCGTCGGATCAAAATTTTCCAAAATAGCAATTTCCCTATCTAAATAATGTTTTTTTTTTTATTGCATATCCCAAATGTTGTGGTCTATAAGCAGAATTTGGACCACATGTTGCCATAAGAACTCTCCCAGTAAACTCTACGAGGGACTTTTTTTTTCCAGAGACCCCAATCGAGGCTCTAGTTGGCGCCTTGGTTTGTACCCCTCTGTCAGTCATATCGGACCCCTTGTCTGCAAACTTCTGTAGCCACCACTGAACATGAGCCATACAATTATGGAACACTTATCTGTTTACCAACAATTGTACTAAATCTTGGTCTATAGGACATTTGTGCCCCCTCGTTCAAAAATTCTTAGTCCGCCCCTCTGCAGGCAGAAGTAATCCAATGGGGTACTGTACAAGTGAACACTTACCACCAACAAGGAATACCACCACAGAGTAAAACAGTTTAAAGACTTTTCCTTTGCCTCCTTCTTTTTCAATGACTCCTCTTCAACTCTTGACCTAAAACAATAATAATAATAATAATAATAATCATAATAATAATTATAATAATAATAATTATTATTATTATAGTAATTGTTATTGTTGTGATGGAATAATAGACAATAACTGGATTTGCGTCAGGAGAAACATGTATAGGTGTAATTTTGCCCCTGCAGTACCCGCTGCTTACTTGGACTCGAATTCAACACTGGCCATCAGGTGCAAGCTCGGTGGTCTAGAGGTGGTCTAGAGGCAGGTTAGTGATCTGGAGATCGTGGGTTCGAGTCCCACCCGAGAACAACTTGCGATTTTTTTTCGCAGTTGTTTTCAAATGTACTGAGTATTCGGTACATTTCCACGTCAGGTAAGGGAAAATTACACCTATAAATTATTATTATGTTACTAAAACCTACCTTACGGGGTACTTAGACAACAGAGAAATTAGAAAACAGTTAAAAAAACGATGTTAAGGGGAAAATAACACGAAAGATATTCCCCTTAGGTCCGACTTAGCACATAAAAAAGTATAAAATATGGAAAAAAGTGAGTTTTAAGAAAGATTGAATTGAAAAAGAAGAGTCAGAGCCTATAATGGATGATGTGGGGGAGTTGGTTCCAAAGAAAACGTTAAAATGCATAAAAGCCTTTGGGGACAGATGTTACATTTGTTTTTTAATATTTTGGATTTCTAGGCAATTTTTTGAGCCCCCATATTTAATAGCTCATTTACTGAATACTGGCCTGTGCGACAACTTAACCATTTCTCCATGACATGCCTCAATTAGGCTCCATGTAATCTGCAACGGTTGTTAGCCATCACTTGAATTTGGTAGCAGATAGCCTCCACGCAGTCTAGATTGTTGGTGGTTATGGCCGAAAATTAATCCAAACTTAAAGGAATGTTTTATTTTGTTGTTTAATACTCTTATAATAGATCTGAGTTCCAAAACTAAATAAATATATTTCTGATGAGGATCCAGACCAACAAGGTGTGTTCTATCATCGATCACAAATAGTGTATATCTCCCGGAAATAAACAATATATCTCCCGGCAATAAACAGTATATCTCCCGGAAATAACTTTTCTTTCAACTTGGGACTGCTGAGTAATTTGCATGGATGAATGTGAAATAAATGTGTTTGTTCCTCTGAAGTTGTACTAAAATGTTTTATGGTTAATAAAAGTTGGAAGATCCATATTGTCTACTTTGTGTTGACTTGTGATTGTAACAATGGTACTATAACTGAAAGTGTCTAATGAGCTCTGTAGAGTCGCAATAGCATACAAACATCCATTAACCTTTAACATTTTCAGTTGCCACATTATTATGCAAATATATTCGCTTATCCTTTGGGCTTTTTACAAACATGATAACTTCACACTCTCACTAATCTACCAATAAAAAAAATTAAAAAAAAATCGGGGTTTGACTTTCCAACAAATGTTTTACACAGAATTTTTCCACAGAAAAAGAATATGGAATTCAGAGTTAGAGCAGTCACTCCATAGACTGCATACCTCTGCTCTGTGCCTAATACCAACAATAAGCAGAGCATGTATGTTAGGCAAAACTGCAACATACCCTCAAGAAAATAATGGAAATGCCCGTTGTATTTAGGTACATTATTTTCTTGAGTGCTGCCTGAATGCAAGGGGCGATTCCCTTATTTTCTTTTATGCTCGAGGGTGACTGATTAAATTTCTGTGACCTTGACCTTTGACCATTCCGTCCAAAAAATTGAATGGTGTCTTTTTGATTATTATGTACTATTCAACTAAATTTTATGATCGACCTATTCATTACTTGTTGCGTAAACTTACAAACAGAGAACCTGACAGAGAGCAGTGAATCAATCACCTCCTTTGGAGGTAAGTAATAAATCAATTTGTAGGCAAAAGACTTGACAGTAATATGTTGTTGCTTACACTTAAAGTCAATAAAAACACACAAATCGCAATGAACAGAAAATTTCCCAAAAACCAATTTTTATAAAAAAAAAAACATAAAGCCTGTTACACACCTGATCTTCCTCTTGGAATCAATGCTGCTGGATAACCCTTTGATTGTCTCACGTCTGAAAAGTTCTCCTTTTTTGGTGCCATCTATCTTGTCCTCGTTGCTTAGCATCCGCTCGATCACCTGCTCCGTCACCTCCTGTCCTCTTTTACCTCTAATCGTTTGGAAGCCATTTTTGACACTTTTCCTGTTGCGCACCCATGAGTGACTGGACTGCACACGTACCATACTGCGATCTGTCAGAGTTAATAAAGTTTCATCAACATTTTGTTATATTAATGATTATAAATTTAGGTATAATGTATAAAATAGCAACAGTCATATAATGCAATGAATAATGTAATAATTGCGTATGGACGTGGTCCGTCACTAACTACTTTTACTTCTCAAAACAACTAAATGAAATTAGTATTAAACTTGTTCTTTTTATTAATTTATATAGGCCTGCCTGATAAATAAAATAATGTCGGCTAATAATTTTTATGGATCGGTAGGAGTTGAATGGGTTTTTTTCTACCCCTGGCAAACCTATCAATATTATCTTGTTATTTTTTAGATAAATGTCCAAAATATATTTTTCATTAGGCTTTGTCTAAATTATCATTGAAAAAAACTGTTGGTTGCCCATATATAGTAATGATGTGCGTATACATGGTCATGATATGTAATATTATCATGACCTTATTTAGGTATTGTTTGGGTTTATTTTGCAAATATAATGTGATAGCCTGGACAGGGTAAAGATGTTATATAAATTTATGAGCAACTGTTAATTCTCTTCTTAAAAGTTCAAAGGTGCCATTAAGATGGATTAATAATTACTCATATATAGTCATGATGTGCCTATAAATGGTCATCATATGATGTCAACATGACTATATTTAGGCATCTCACATGGTTTTGTCAAATATAAAATTTGATAGCCTAGACAGGGCAAAGATGTGATATAAATGAGCAACTGTTAATTCTCTTCTTAAAAGTTCAAAGGTGCCACTAAAATGGATTAACATAGTTATGATGTGCCTATATACGGTCGTAATGTGATGTCACCATGACTATATTTAGGCATATCACTTGGGTTTTTTTTTTCAAATATAAAATAGTCTAGACAGAGTAAAAATGAGATATAAAAATAAGCACTGTCTTCATTCTCTTCATGTAAAAGTTTGAAGTTGTCAGTAACATTCTAAAACTCGAAACTAATTTGAAATACGCATTCACCATTTTGTTGCAAGAAATTCCTCGTTGGATTGATTCAATAGATAAAAATGATTCCTCTGTAAACCTTTCATGCGTGAATGCAATGTAATAGTCAATATCATCCATAACAAAAGATGTATATCAAAAGCCATTACAGATACACATCCTCCAATAGCGTCACATATAACTTCCTGTTAAATTTAATAACCATTTATTCCATCGTCGTTAGTAGCACACTGCTTTAGTGATTTGATAGTAACAACCTGGCTTTAATTCAAATTATTCATGTACTTTATATTTTCTGTGTATTCTGAAGGTCAAATAAATAAATAAAATGAAAAATCAATGATGTGACATTATTTATAGTATTATGCCAAAGTCTTAAGATCTATCTACACTGTTGCATGCCCACATATAGTCATGGTGTGCGTATATATGGTCATGATGTGATGTCATCATGACCATATATAGGTATGTCACATGTTCTGTCAAAATAAATTTAAAAGTCTAGGCAGAACTTTATATCGAAATTTGAATATATTGCGGATACCAGAATTTATATAAATGATCATGTATTTTTATTTATGAATTTTGATAGAATAAATTTATTTATTAGATGACACACACTACGTATGCTTATAACTGTACATACACCCTGTAATGTACAGTATACACTGTATAGGCCTACTGTCACATTGTACTGTACATACTATACAATGTACAGTATACGTACTTTACACTGTAAGCCTACTGTCACACTATACTGTACATACAGTACATACTGTTCTGTACTATACACACTATACTGTAAATTCACACTGTACTAGTTGTAGGCCTACTGTCACACTGTACTTTATATACTATACTGTGTATATACACACTATACTGTACATTCACACTATACACACTGTACTGTACTGTACATACTCACTGTTCTGCAGAAGATAGAGCAGCTTCCCAATATAGTGGAACATCCGTTCAAAAGGCATTGTGGGTACACGGAGAACAATTTTACTGCAACCGTGCGGCGGCGCTATATAAAAACAATAAAGGCACTGCTCTTGTTTGCTTGTTTCCTTTAGTTTCTCCACTTAGTAAAATGTTCAAATTTTACTGCAACCGCAGGAGGGCGAATGTTCCATCAATTTTAATGCAAATACGCGGAGCAGCTCATTCTTCTACTATTTAAGTTCTTTGATTATACACACTATACTGTACATTCACACTGTATTGTACATATACTATACACTGTAGGCCTACTACTGTACTGTACATAGTATATATACACAATATATTGTACATTCACACTATACACACTGTATTGTACATACAGTACACACTGTGCTGTACAGTACATTCTGTATAGGCCTACTGTCTCATTGTATATACATACTATACTGTATACTATATTGTACGTTAACACTATACAAACTGTACTATACATACTGTTCTGTATTATACACACTATACTGTACATTCATACTGTACTGAACATATACTGTACACTGTAGGCCTACTGTCACACTGTACTCTACATATGTGGCAAAGACAAGCCAAACCAGTCACTCGTCGCAAAAATAAATTTTGAGTTATTAATACAGTGTAAGAGAGTAAAATAATAGCTATAAAATGGTAAAAAAATCATTCAAATCCGACATTTCCTTATGAAGTTACAAGCGTTTAACCACACAGCTGTTTAAAGAACAATATATGAGAAATCAGCCTTTAAAGTTTATGATTTCAGGCATTTCTCATGCAGAAACTATCTTTAAATCCTTAAAAAGTGTTGTTTTAACATTGAAAATGGGAAAAATAACAGCATAGAATGATGTGTAGATATATAAAGGTTAGTTTAGTGAAAATAGATTTAAAAAAATTGGACATTCCAGCATGTTTTGGCCATTTTCTCTGAAACACGATTTGCGACGAGTGACTGGTTTGGCTTGTCTTTGCCACATATTGTACTGTATATACTGCACATTCACATTATACATATTATACTGTATATATAAACACTATTACTGTACATTCACACTATACACACACACTGTACAGTACAATACACACAATTTCTTAAACTGTTGTGTGTTTCAGCATGACCATAAACTGTACTGCAGGCATGTCATATTTTTTTTAATCGTCTTGATAGGGATTCATATCAAAATTTTAATGTATTGTATATTGTGAACCAACACTATTATAAATGATCATGTATTAATTATGATTATTATGTATGAATTTTGATACAATACATTTAATCTACTTTTTAATAGGCACACACTATTGACGCTAATACAGTACATACATCCTGTACTGTAGAACATGCACACATGTTGACATTGACTTAATGATTAGTATGATTGTTTCTTCTAGGTGAAAGATTTCCTTAAGTAATGAATTCCCCTTGATGCCCCTTCGTTGACTTTTCAGTCTGGCAACTGATTGGCGTACCATATTGCAGTATGCTCTTCAGGGAATATACCCTACGGATTCATGTCTTCATAAACCACTTATAGATTTACAGATTATGCCACAAATTCAACATTTTAATGGAGTACTCACAATTTTTTCTTAGCTTGGCTTTGGGAAATTAAGGGGCAGCCACTTATAGAAACAAAATACTTGCAATTTATAGGAATGAAGAAAGATCAATGTTCATATTTTTGGAAATATTTATACTGACGCACGCTACAGATGTGCTATACATTGATACATACGCACTACAATTTCGCCCTTCAATTCGAGACCAATTTGGGACCTGAAAATTTGGGGTGGTCTCGGGGTATGGTCTCCGTTTGGGTTAGCTATGTGTTGAAAGATTGATGATTTTTATTTGGTTCTTTGAAAAAGTGGTTCTCAAATTAAAGGGGTGTCAGAATCAGGTGTCTGGAGCGGGAGAGTGCACTGTATGAAATCATTGTGTATTTTATTTAATTTATTTTTATTTCTTTATTCTGAATATGTACTAGACAAGAAATATCATATTCAGAGGATAAAAACACAATAAAGTACCAAAATTGGCAACTTATTTCCATTGTGGTCCTTACGTAAAAACAATCAGAAACAGTAAAAACACGACAAAACAGTAAAAACATGATAAAACAGTAGAAACATGATAAAACAATAAAAACACGACAATGTATACAATAGATAGCATACATACTGTCGATGCAAACACATAACATACCCATAAATTATATATAAATAAGAACAATTTACACGCATGCAGTATTGTAGTTATTGAAATCTAAATTAAATTATGGATAAAGGTCTTTTGTTGTGGCTGTTCCTGCATTGTGGAGCGAAACGCTATCTAACGTTCGCAAACAAACATCTCCCAATGCCTTCGAAACAACACATTTCACAGATGTTTAATATGCACAGGTTGTTAAGTGCTATGAGATATATTATGTAGGTTACTATTTTTTAATGACACATTATCAAATATCATTAAAGAATGCAGGTATTTTCAATATATTCAACAGTTTAACCATAAAACACTCACATTAACTTTTTTAGGAGAATGATTATTAGGACAATTGAAGAATACCAGTACATCCGTTTTGGTAAGGAATATTAATGCACAGTTGTGGTGATATGAAAATGTTGTTTATACAACAAAATATTATACAAACAAAATCATCTGCCGCTTAATCACAGAGAACATAAAATGAACGTTACTGCGAATAAAGAGAGGGAGGCCATGATTCAACGTTTCAACCTTTATTGGGTCATCATCAGGAATGAGAAAACTTAGACACTGATTACAAAAAATGCTACAATATTTAAATGAGGGGATTAAAAGCTAGTACAATAACAATGGTGATTAAGCATAATGGTGATTATGAGAGAGGCAATTAAGTTAGGTTAGGGTTAGGGTTGGGGAAATGTCATACTGTATAGTCAAGAGTTAGCTTGGGATTTATTTTTTTAATTTATAGGTCATAAGCGAAAAAAAAAATATAAAGATACCCAGGTTTTCGTACTTGGAGAGGGATTGTAAATAAGGTAAAAGGAAAGGTTCGAAACCTGAAGCAGCATTTTATAGAAAATCTTTTAATTTTAATTTGTTCTTCTTTATACTGGGTGTGCTTACATTAGGGAGTGGAGTTGTTCTAGTCATTGATTGAGTACAGTGGAAATGTGTGTTGTATACCTTACCTAGCTGTCTGCTTGGTAGCAAGTCCAGAATAGTGTTGGGGTCTTGTAGGGAAGCAGCAGTAAGCTCTCTCTCCGCGATTTCATCATCACTTTCCGTGTTGTACTCATCACTTGATACGTCCTCTTCATACTCTCTATTGTCCACCTCGACCATTACATGCTCTGGCTCATCATCTTCGTAATCATAGCCATCATTAACTGTGAATGCAAGAAATGTTGGCAGTCTGATCTTTGTAGTTAGCCTTTCTAATATCAAGTGAAGATATCTCTCTATTTGTAGACCCCCACCAATATGGAAACCCCAGTCCAAAATGTGGTCCTTAATTGGAGGGAGACCTGTGCCTTGAATACTATACATACACAAGTCTAAAACATATAGAATTATTGTTGTTACATGTTTGTATCCGTATCCTTTACACGTTGTAGTTAAGTTGGGTGGCTTGGAGCTGCGCAATTTTTATGTTGAATGTGAACAAATAGAAGTATTAAGAAAAATTTATTAAAAAGGAATGATTATTATGAATAGAATATTTATTTTAACATACCACAAAAACCCTAATAGAATCCCTGGCTTCTTCGCTTTTTCGAACACTTAGATGGGCTTACTTTTTAGATGGGCCTCTTTTCAAGATGGGATTCATTTCGAAAAGAAGGGGCTTTATTTCAAAATGAATGCTATAAATGTTAGAATTTCTACTATGTAACATTTTTCAGTGATGGAATTTGAAATTTTGTTTATATTTTTTAAAATTTTAACGATGCTAGTATGTCAATAAAATAATATTCATACTGACACACAATCATAATAATTAAATATAACGTCAGTCTAAATGTAAGTACTATCTCAAATTATTATATCTCAGAATATTACATTATAAAGCACATGGGCTTTTCAACCATCAAGTTTGTTCTACTCCGTAAATGATTGGGATTCTTTTCGAGACTACTTTTACTTCTTTCTGAGACTACTTTTTGCAAAAAAGGGGGCTTCTTTTCGAGATGGGCTTCTTCTCAAAATTAAGCCCTATGTGGCTTCTATTCAAGGTTTTACTGCAGTGCAGTACTGTTATTGAAAATATTCATCTGGTTGCGATGCGAAAATATTTGTGTAATGAACATCAAAACTGTCAGTAAATTTATGTCAGTTCAAGGCACTTGATTTGATAAAATAGAAAATTTCCCACTACAGTAAACTGTTGTTGGGTAGAGTCCAACAGTACTGTTTAACTCTTTACTGTATTTGCATATTAAATCCCATACTATTCGGTATTATTAAAATTCTGTTTTAAGCTTGGCATGAAATAATAAACATTACACCAGATGCATTACAGGGAATAGGGCAAGCAAAGTCAATCATAAAAAAAATCTACCATCTATTCTCACAGAGTAATTTAGAACAGATTTATGAACCCTGTGCAGTATCCAATGTGATGGTATTACTGCAGTATATCAAATATCCAAATCATAACATAATTAGAGAACTGCTGATGGATGAGGAAAATAAATTGCTCTTAACCCATAATAGAACATACTAAATATTTAAACAGGCATACTTGTTCAGATAATCACTGAAATTAATAATTAATACACAGACAGGCCTCATTGATTTCAGATTCTTTTACCAAAATGTAGACTGATATTACTATCTCTATGATTAGTGGTTATAGCTGCACTCATCGGATCTAAACTGAAATTTGGACAGCATTTCTGATGCGCTGAATGCCGGCGCCCCTATTCTTACACACCGATTGGATTTTCTGATGGGTCTGGTAGGCCTTCGGATCTGAAAATTCGGATTTGGTGTGAATGTAGTTTAATGCAGAGTGTACTAAGTGTGAATGTACCTTAATGCAGAGTTAAATGAGTGTGAGTGTAGCTTAATGAAGAGTTACTGAGTGTGAATGTAGATTAATGCAGAGTTTACTGTGTGAATGTAGCTTAATGAAGAGTTCACTGAGTGTGAATGTGCAGTAGCTACTGTAAATGCAGAATTTGCTGTGTGAATGTAGCAAAATGCAGAGTTTAGTGAGTGTGAATGTAGCTTAATGCAGAGTTTACTGAGTGTGAATGTAGCTTAATGCAGAGTTTACTGAGAGTAGTAGAACAGGAAGATACTATACTGGGTAATGATTAGTGCATCCTGTATCTACAGTAGAGTAAATATTGGATATTATTCATTGTTTGTTATCTATTTTAATGCAATACCAAGCTAAATAGATTTTTATCTGTGTACATTGTCTAATGATCACTCTCAAAGTGCACCACAGCATATGTCGCAAGACATTCAGTAACTGTGAAAAATGATTATTTTGCATAATTCATCAATTCCAACCTGCCTACCAAATTTAATTAAATCTTAATTTCCACTAAAAAGAAAAACTAATCATATTAACAACAAAAACTAAAAAAGAGCTAACAATACAAGCATGTTCCCCAACCTAAAACTTATTTATAACTACTAAAGCACAGTATAAGCATTTACTGTATACTTATTTAACTATTATACAATTTGTATTTTCTAAAATAAGAGTAAACTATAATAATAAAATACCAAAATCATCATTTTCAGAGCATATTATTTTGAAAGAATACAAATTTTGACATACTGTAATTTGGCTATTTTTACGTATCAAATTATTGCTGTATATTTGAAAGCAGTTCCTATAGTCATAATAAATTTTAAAGATATGCAAATTTAATTTGGATGTTTGGTCTCCTTCCAATTAAAGAAAACTTTCATTTAAAGACCACTTTTCTGTGGTCCCAAATTATCAAATTTCCTTTATCTATATTATTCTAATTAGAGACCAAAGTGGCTAAAGGCCATACTGTACAAATCCCACTCGCAAAAGTGGTCTTTAATTGGAGGGAGACCTAATATCTTGTTTTCTGAGTAAATTCTTTATTAAAATTTAATGCTTTCACAAATTGACTTACCATAATCCATCGGTACTTCCTCTATGCGTGTATGAGGACCGAGTCTGTGTGAGTACGTTCGGCGGACCGGTTGCCCGTGGGGACCCTCATCTTCTACGTAAACCTGGAATTCATGACCTTGATGAGAGCCTGAGAAATGGGCTTCTAAGCTGTCTTCTTCCTCATAGTACTCGCTTTGCTGGCCTGAGTAGCCGGCACCCGAGTGCCGGTTTGCCATGGTTGGATTAACAGGCTTGGACCAATCAGGATTCGTGTCTGCCATTAGAATGAAAAGGTCTTAGTTATGATAATAATAATAATAATAATAACAATAATAACAATATGATAATATTAATAATAATAATAAATTTAATATGTAGGCATTTATATACTGTTATATAAATAATAATAATATGCAGGCATTTATACACGGTACTGTTATATAATAATAATATGTAGGCATGTATATACTGTAGCACTCTTTACCTGAGTATCATAGCGCTTAAAAAGTATGTACTATGGAAAAAGGTGAGTTTTGAGAAGAGAACTGAATTGAGAAAGAGTTGGAGCATAACGGATGATGGTGGAAAGTTGGTTGCCGAGTAAAGGAAAATGAATAAAGGCATTTGGGGACAGATGTTAAGTTTGTTTCTGAATATACTACAGTACAGTATAAGTATCAAGTAGAGTACTTAGTAGAATCTTACAGTATACAGGTCTCCCTCTAATTAAAGACCACTTTTGGGACCAGGGTTTATATGGTCTTTAGCCACTTTGGTCTCTAATTAGAATAAATATAAAAGAAATTTGTTAATTTGGGACCACAGAGAAGTGGTCTTTAAATGGAGGTAGTCTTTAATTGGAGGGGTCTTTATTTAGAGGGAGACCTCTTTTAGTCTCAACCAAATGTATAAAATGCATTATGTGTTTTTAAAATGTATTTTTCTCAGAAAAAAATGGCATAAAAATTAAAAAGAAAAAAAAATGAAAGTAACCTGCTTATAAAGTTAACATATTAAGAGATCAACCATAGCATACAGTACTAGAGAATACATTAAAAAATGTTTAGCCCTACAGTATTTTCCTTCCATGATGATAAATTGATAGAACCACTTCCAGTCTCTGACACTACTGTTAATTAATTAATCTTGGTAACTAACTGTACAGGTACTGTATGATTTTAATATGCAGCAATGCATTTATTTATTCATTAAGTCTGTACTTATCAGTTACTCAATATTCATTAATTCTTGTACTGTATTTTATTAGCCAACACACATCACTTTTATTTGTATGAATTTTTTTATGACAAACAATTTAACAAATGAAGTACAGTACTCTCTCTTCCTGTTTTTTTTATTTTATGCTAATTAGTGAAAAATTATGTCATTTTGTTTTCTACAGAGGATGCTACATACCGTAGGCATAAAGAAATTGGAAATTATTTTTGCATATTGTTGATAATGAAAGGAAATCGGGAAAAAAAATAATGCTCTAATGCTCGCTTTTTACATGCATTATAATATTATTACTGAATCGGACTATGGACACACAAGTGGTCACCAAACACCTAAGATCACTTGAGCTATATGGTACATGTTTACGCATCACACACAACATAATACAATTACTGACACTTTGACAGTCAGTTAACAGTACGTATAAATGCAGCTCTTGAAATATTACCAGTATTGTAATTGAATAGGATCTAGATAATACTGTCATCAGAACTGTGTACTGTGTAAAGTTCACTTTGATATACAGTAAACCAAGGCAGATTGTACTTTGTAATCTGCTTGTCTGATTCTTTCCATAGTAGGAACACTATCTCTGACGTAATGGAAAGTAAATCATGGATGTACTATACTTATATAGTACGTATATATATATATATATTCTTGGTCCTACCTTTTTTTCGGCGCCTTGAGACGATTTTATTGTGGAAGGCGCACTACAAATATCCCACCATTACCATTACCATATATAAATGGTGCACTGTACTGTATATATTTTATGAAATGGTATTCAAATAATGACAATGCAAAACCATATTGTCAACAATTCCGGTTTTGTTTACCTTTATAAAGTGTATTTGATGATTTTTTATTTTATGCTAAAGGCATCCATAGCAATAAAGGCAAGGACTTAGGCCTGTTTACACTATGATGAAAACGATCAACATCAAAAAGCTAAAAAGCAATTGTTCATAGAAAATAAAGAAATAAGAGACATTTTCACACTAGCACAATTCGATAAATGATTTATCGTGTATACGATAAAAAAATATTTTCACAAATCAAATCAAATGATGCCATAATTTTTTTAATTTCATGCTAAAGGCATCAATAGCAATAAAAAGACAAAGACTTAAGGCCTGTTTACACTATGACGAAAATGATCAATGATAAAAAGCTAAAAAGGAATTTGTTCATATAGAAAATAAAAGAAATAAGAGAAGTTTTCACACTAGCACAATTCGATAACGATTTATTGTGTATAGGATTAAAAAATATTTTCACAAATAAAATCAAATGATGTCACAATCATGCGAAAACGATCGTTTTCAAATGATTTGTCGTAATATGCTACTTTAAGCCTGGTCTTAATGTAAGAATAAGTATACGGTATTACTATAGCATTTACAGTAGGAAAGTAAAAGAATGACAAGAGGGTTCAAAATCAATCTTAAAGTGAATCTCGGTTTTTGAGGCATTGAACGAATAGAAAATGAAAGTGTATCCAGATGGAGTTCAGAAAAACAGTCATAAAAAATGATGTTTATTCTTCTTTTTCATATTGGGCACAAATTGATGAGCATAGAAATGACTTTAGTTAAAGAATTGCATGGATTTAAGTCACTGCCGAAAGGGGAAAGCCCCTATATTTTACTTAAAGCTATACGAGTGAGCCATACTAATATGTGACTAATACATTAAAACAACAAATATTGACTCTACTCATTAATAGGATGAGTCTTAGTACAAGCTTGCGATTAACATGTCAAGAGCACATGCCTACTGATAGCCATCAATTACAATCATAATTCAATACAATTTTAGGCCAATGCCTCTAAAGCACTGGGGCCAATGAAGCCTGTTTTCCAACGGGGGAGAAGGGGGGAGGGGTCCACAACGAGTTTCAGAATAGATAAAGTGAGTAGCACATATGATATGCATTGAAATTTCATTAGTGGCTAAATGGGGGAGCGGGGAGATCCGTGCCTGGCTAATATTCAATGTAAAAGAAACCATCTTAAAGTTAAAGTCTTCTTGTCATAAATGTTGACTCTGTATAAATTTGCTTTATGGTACCTGCCACTTGTAATGACCCACAAGTCACCTACTTAAGACCATTGTTGGAATATGCTTGTCCTCTGGAAATAGCAAAGATCGATTACAAAGTTTAACCAGCTTTTAACATTTACAAGGGCAAAATTTTCAAAAGCCTGCCATACAGTATGTGCTCAAAAACATTTTCCTAATACTGTACAGTACAGCATGGTAGCATATTAAGAAGCAAATCTTAACTTTTCAAATGTACTATATGCAAGACTCAATTTTTCCCCCTTCCCACATCTAACGTTTACTACAGTATCTCCAGTTATTCACACCCCTTCCATTTCTAGTTGTGCTGTATGTTTTTCTTCTGCCGTTGATTTGATAATTTTACAACATATATTTGGGAATTTTTATTTCCTTATATTTAGTTATTGAAAAATGATTCAAAGGACAAAAGTGTATTGTCGATATAATTACCACGCAAGCCAACTTTATCTAGCGTGAATTTCACATCCACCCTTTTTTTTTTAGTTTTGCTATCGCCGATGGCTGCTTGGAAGATTAACTTATGGTACAATGCACAGCATTAAAGCAGTGCGTACTCTTATTCTTCTCTAGTCTAATACACAATGAATGACACATATATTCCTTAACCTACTATACACCCATTCCTAATAATAGAACACCATTGAGCTTAAGTGAGGCATAGCAATGGAGTCTTTAGTACAAAATGGATGTTATTTTTGTAACAGGACTACTGTACTACAGTAGAAGAGCACAATCACACAAAGGAATTTAAAATATTTAATTGTTATTTGAGTTTGTTGTGAACATTTATACTCTGTCAACAGACTAGTTTTTATATTGAGCACAACTGTAATTTTTTTTCTAATACTGCATAATTAGAAATTTCACAAAATTGTTTAAAATCTGTGCTCAAACCGAGTTATTTAAATAAATAAAAAGTTCAAAATTCTTCATTTGTGCCCTTTTGGAAAATCAGTTGGTAGTACATCACATTGCAAAATAAAGTGCAGGATTAATGCAAAAACGACAACAACTGATATAATTATAATTAGGCCCTAAAACTTAATTGATATTTTGATTAAGAATTGTTTAGCGGGTGAGAACTATCTGTTAAGATTCTTTACTTCTTTACTGGTAAATTTGTTCAGAAAAATTTAGCTATGCACGCAGTCTGAGGCGTTATCCCTTTTGAGTGAGGTTTAATGACAATACATACCGTATAGTCGTTGCCTATACGTATATATTAAATTGGAATGATATTCATTTGTTGAAGAAAGAAGGCCAGCTTAGACTATAGGCCTAATCAATGGTTTTATTATTTTACAATCTCAGAATTATCACTCTGGTTGGCCAGTTATTTTTGCCGGTAAAATCCGGTAAAATTGATGGCTGAAACGGCTTCGGGAGAACACTGACTTTGTAAATAATTTTCACACCTATCATCTAGTTGTTTATTTTGTTGTAGAATTTTTCCAGCCTGATTTATGATACATAGTACTGTATTCTGTTATAATCATTTTCACTTAACTTCCAAACAAAAGAGCGTTTCAATAACAGAATTAACAAGGCTCATTATACATCAACAGTGAATGACCGCAATTTCCTGAAGAAACGGAGGCGTGTCACACCATTCTTAACACTGCTCCCCCGAGTTTAACTTATTATCAATCTCACTGAGTTGCTAGAATATCATTTGAAAAAGGTCATCATTTAATTAATTAATCTAATTTGGTCAAATAAGTACAGATCGTGCTGCAACTTTGATTTTAATGCAAATTTACAATCAAACTATTATGCGATGGCCAGTGGCAGACTCACAAATTTTGAGAGAAATATGCGATATGCCTAAATATGGTCATATGATGACATCACATTTTTACAAATAAACTGTTTTTTTTCAAAGAATATTAATTTCATTATCTTATACGGTATATGATAAATTTCAACATACATGTACACAGATCTTTCAAAATCCAGTTGGAAGGAGACCACTATAATTTAAAAATGTATGGATTCATAGCATGTAAGAACATACTTTATTGACAGTGAGTTGAAAGTTCAATATATGGGCACTTTTCAATCAACATCATCAGATCCCATATCAATTACTATATTACAGAGAACAACAATTTAACAATATTATAAAACCATTAATTTTTTTTACTACAAATAAAAATATTGATTTGATCATGTGATTTATTTATGAGCTCATATTTTTAAAAGACATCAGACAATAAATACTGTAGTTAAGTCATCATCAATCGAACAACAAATAAACAAAGTGATCAATAGACAAATGTGAAGAGAGAATATAAAAATGTAAAAAAGAAAATTATTATATGAAATGAACACTTAATAATAAACATTAAAAAAATAAAATTGAACAGTTAAAACAATGGTACAGTATGTAATGATAATACATAGGCCTAGGCCATGCCTACATATCGTCGCTCACATCACGAACTAACACAATCGAAGTAGATTGTGTTAGTTCGTGAAATCACAGTAGCGCGTCAAAACGAGCGCGTATTGGTTGTCAAGCAATTTTGTATTCTTTACCACACAAAAAGTCCTTAACGACAACAGCGCGTATTTTGACGCGCTTTTTTGATTTCACAAACTAACACAATTGAATTTAATTGTGTTAGTTCGTGATGTGAGCGACGATATTATGATAAATAAAAATATGGTTAAAAAATATAAATAATTATAAGTTAATAACTTGACATAGGCCTAGGCCTGAATAATAGCCTAGGCCTAGTAGTAGTAGTTCTACTACTTTCTAAGCCTAGCTAAGGCTCAATCCTGATGATAAGCCTAGTTGAAGTTCTATAGACAGAACCCTAGGCCTACAGTATGTAGGAGTAAGAAGAGTGGCCTAGCCCTAGGCCTAAGCCTATACGATCGTCGATAACGCCATGTTACGAAACATTCTTTGTAGGCAGGTAGCCAGGGCCATGAAAGAATTGCAAAGAAAATATGATATTCTCACATAAAAGTAATTGATTAAAACAAAGTACCTAACTGTGACTCACCTCAATGTCCGAATAAACAATGTTTCCTTCCGACAGTCAATTCAATAGGCCTCCAACTCTAAACCTATCATCACGAATCCGCTCTCTACTAATGTCGCGGATGCAGTGAAGCGTGTCCAAAAGTTGTAGAACGTGATAGATGGCGCTACATTACCTGTTGCATGTTGCACACGTTTTATCTGGCCAACATTCGGATTAATACAGTAGAACCATGCAGGTATTATTGAGAAGGAGATCACTCGGCAACAGATCCCTTTGTTGACGCGACAAACCTATGTGTTCCCCGCTTTTGGATCGCGCGCGGGCGTATTACCCTATAATTCACAATTTTTCGTTAGCAACAACTTGGCAACGACATGCATTTATACGCTTCCAGCAGAGCAGTTGTGCAATAAAACGTTTGATTTTAACCCATTAAATATCTTTATAATGAACAATGTTCCCCTTTTATTATAATCCTTAAATCCTTAATCATTTATTAATTAATATCTGTTAAAATTAGAATGGGCGAATTTAGGCCAACTTATGAAAATTGATGTTGAAATATACTATACTTTTATAGGTCATGTAAATGTTCCACTATATTCGAAACTTTTCTTGGTGGAAAATATTAATATGTTTGATATTTTATGAGAGATAAATGTATCAGCTTCAAAATCAAAAAGATTGCGCAGCCATAGTGATTGACAGTATGTAGTGCGCATTGAGAAA